TTCATGATTCTCTAACTGCATTGCATAACATTGAAACATACTGTAGCATCCTACCTAGTGTTTTCCAGATTTCGTCCCAATGGAACATTCTATAGGTTCCCTCTTCATGTTCTCAGCATTCCTATGAGTTTCTACACATGTTCCCCGTATTGCATAACAATGAAACATTCTACGGGTTCCCACTTCATATTTCCTGCGATGCAGCGCAAGGGAACATTCCTTAATTTCTCTCATCATGTTCCCCGCACTACGTGAAAATAAAAATTCAATAGGATCCTACCGAACGTTTACTGCATTGATGTTACAATGGTACATTCTACAGGTTTTATCTCATGTTCAACGCATTGCGTCACAATGAAATACACAATAAGTTCTTATGGCATGGTCCCTTTATTGCAATGAAATATTCTATAGGCTTGTACTCGTGTGTCTCGCATAGCCTTGCAATAGATCATTTCACAGGTTCCTACCTTTTCTATTCCCAAAAATTGCATCTATAAGTTTAACATCATGTCACCCGCATTACGTCATAATTGAACATTCTATTATTTCATACTTCATATTCCCCGCATTGCTAACAATGGCACATTATTTAGGTTCCTACATTGTGTTAAGAACATCTACATGTATACTTTCATATTTCACGTTCCCTTCCTTGCATCATATAAGGAAATCTTATTTCCTACCTTCTGTTTACCATACTGCTTTACTATAGAACATTCTATAGGTTCATAGTTACACGCATTGCATTGCAATGGAATTTACATTCTATAGTTTCTTACCTCATATTCTAAGCATACAAAGAAACATTCTACAGGACATCCTACCTCGCTCATTTCTGCACTGCATCACAATCGAACTAGGTTCCTACCTTTAAGCATAACGTCACAATGGACTGTTCTATAAGCTCCTACCTCATTTTCTCCCCATTACGTCACAAAGGAACATTATATATGTTTTTACCTCATGCTTGTTCCCTGCAATGCTTCACAATGGAAATTATTTAGTTTCTTACCTCATGTTCACCGCATTGCGTCACAATGGAACATTCTATAGGTTCAGGAATATCCTTACAAGACAGGCACGTCTGGCCGCCATCCACTGATGAAAGACAATCTCCATTAAAAATATCTTTACAGTGTAATGAAGATCAATTTCCTGAATGAAAGTTCGTAAGCGTTTTCTCAAGCCATTTCTACTCTGAATTTCTGGATTATAGTTTATATATTACATAAATACACAACAAAATTTCTTTTCTTACGTATTAAGGATAACGGTTACTTCGTGAAAGTGCATGTATATGTGTCAATCAAACGCGTCCCAAAATTCGTAGTTTTAATTATTTCCAGATGAAAGAAGTTTCTAAACACGATTTTTATTAGATTTCGGCTTGAAGTTCTCTAGCAACATATATGTCATGATATTATACTGAAAATTTTAGAAAATATTAACTTCAAATCTGTGTCTAGGCCCCTTTAACTGCTTGATATCCAGGAGTAAAGATTTTTAAAGACTGCATTAATTTTGATGGTTTTAGCCCCACCCCTCAGGCCCCAGAGGTGTGAGGTCCATATAATTCACAATTTTTGTTCCCCTTTACCCATAGATGCCGTATACCATAATTGGTTGATATTGGTTCAGCGATTCTGGAAAAGAAGCTGAAAATGTTCAAATGTTAACGCATGCGGACGACGACTGACGAAAACAGAAAAAGGTCATCTGAGTGACTCAGGTGACCTAAAAATGGTTATAACCTGCATTATTTACAAAATCATGCCCAGCAGAGACAACTATTATTAACGTAAAGTACATGTATATGGAATCTCAGATACTTGACGATAATACAACGTCATGCACCTCTGAGGTGAAATGAATGAAATTACTATGTGGGTCACGTTCTCTTGATTAAAAACAGGTTTGGATGTTTAAAGTGTGAAACAGATGTGCAACAAGGATTGTTCAGGAGTAAGCTATGGAATTAATAAATGTCAGTTACACTCCCTCATTAGAACCAAATTAGATCCCAACACATTTCATTTCTAGGTCGGGTAGGTTTAGTTAATTTTTGTTACACCCTCTCATTAGAACCATATTAGAACCCAACACATTTCATTTCTAGGTCGGGTAGATTTATTCTGGAGCTACGTGTTCATATAGTTTTCATCTTTACATGTTTGATAAAGAATACAAGCAGCCCAGTGTTCTTTCAGAATGAGATTTTTTTTTTAATTTTCACCTTTATAACCTTTCATTATGTATCGATAAAATATACTTCTTTTAAAAATAGCCTCACTGCATATTTTTGAGAGTTTAACATTCTAACAGTTGGCACATAGAACCTTTGAAGTGTATAATTAGGAAAGATAGTAAAATAACATGGGTTTGTAATATTTGTTTTGAAATAAAAGATGTCAACGATAAAAAGAAGGAAATAATTTTACAAAACATACTTAGCTGCTTTTGGAACTCTCTACTTACCATTTGAGATCGTTGTCGCCATTTTTAAAAGTAAAAACAAACTTAATCTGAAATTAAAGCAAATTCCTTAAAATAAAGAAAACAGAAAACAACAATAAACATACAACCCCCTGCCCCTCTCCATGAGAAAAGGTTTTTAATTATTGATCGATTGTATTTGTAAAGAGTGTGGACAACATTATTGAAATAGCTCAAACACATGGCTTATCTTACATGTAAAAGTACAGACTGAAACATCTACACTGTAAGTTGCTTTAAACCTTAGAAGTTAACACAATACTCTCTCTCTCTCTCTCTCTCTCTCTCTCTCTCTATATATATATATATGTTCCGTGGATTCAGACATACATTGAGATATCAAACATACATACCTATTGTCAAAAATATGTTATTGAGAATATGTTATTGAGAATGTAAAACTTGAATATAAAGAACAGTGATCAATCTCAAATTATGTGAAAATGCGAATGTGAACAGGGCAAAGACACTGACCCCTGGAAACACCAGAGGGGGATCAAGTGCCTAGGAGGAGTAAGCATCCCTTGTCGACCTTTTAATTAATCAGGTAAATGGAGAAATCCGTATTCAGAATTATTGTAGAAAGAAAATGAAATGGATTTATAAAATCCAGTTTTGATCTTTGTTGAAAGGAACATATTACATATAGCGTAAGTTTAATAAGGTTCAAATATCATACTTGTTAAGCTTAAAAATTTCAGATTCTTAGACATACAAAAAAAAACAAACGAAACAACAAACATACCATTATGGTGAAATAATACCTGTTTCAACGTTTTGGGACAATGTTTTTTTTTTTCTTTTTGAAAAAGCTCAGTCATGTCAAAAATAACAAAACATGAAAATGTTAAATCAATTTGATAGTACAAATACCCTAAAACAGCAACGTTGTGCCTCAAACCGATATACATGAAAAAATAAAAATATCAAAACACCTTTATCTCTGAAAATAAAGTCTTTGTATAAAGAGACAGAGAAATTCAATAATAAATGGCAGCATAGAAGATTAAGTCAATCACTACCTCTGACACAATAAACTCATTCCTCTTTAATGTCTATAGACTGGTAGACTTTGTGATTTAATTCTCTTATCGTGTGTGACCTATGTTCTGGTGAAATGTCAGAAAGGTGCACGGGAAGTCAGACCTCTCCCCTCGCACTTTAACACGAGATCAAGATGTCTTTCGATTTATGATTTACGTAATAGCATAACTAAATATATATTCAGTAATTTATGGAAATGTAGTTTGATAAACATATGCCATTTCAAAATTTATTTTTCATATATTTTCTGTCGTTTTATTAAAGGACAAGCAAAAGGGATAAAGGAAAACTGATTATGATCAATAAAATACTAATAAAACTGAATTATACACCATTCAACATTATTTAATATTTTCATTTATGATAAATATGTGTTAAATATACTTTTGATACCAGGAAAGAATACAATAAGGATAACGATTAAGTACATGTATAAGATTGAGATATATACACAAAAATATACAAAAATTCATGTTAATAATAATAAGAAGAAAAGATATTAAAAATAAGAAAATGTGATAAGATATACAATAAGAATATTTAATTTGAGTATAAAATAATGTAACAGTCAGGATATACAATATGGGTATACAGTAAAGATAATATAATAGGGTATAAAGTAAGAGATAAGAAATACAGAAATACTGTAAAGAAGTATAAAAAGGGCATAAATAAGAAACAAAATAAAATATACAAAGATATACATATTGTATACAATTAGCTATACAATATGGAGATATACTTTAAGAATATACAATTAGGAAATGCATAATATTTATATTACAAGAAAAATATATATAATAAGGTGTACAATAAGGTATACTTTAAAGTATACAATTGGGAATAATAAAGAATACAATAATACAATACTATTTCGTTATAGAAAAAACTGAAATATAACAAGGATATTAAATCAGAAAATACAGTAATGGAATTATAATAAGATATACCATTAAAATAAAGTACTCTACGTATGAACAATTTCTAAAACGATGTAAGTTATTGACAAACAAGTTGTTGAAACAAGAATGAAATATATGGAGATAACGAACAGTATTCAAGCTCAAAAGTCCTTGTCATGATCGGGAAATAACGGTAAAATCCGTGGACAATTCAGTTTGTAAATAATGGCCTAACAATTAGTATGAAAAAAGTCAGTCAGCATTTGACTCAATGATAAATTGTATTTGCTGACAAGGTCATTGTATCGACCATAGAACTTACGAAATGATGACTTTAAACGAGAATGCTGATATTCTTGTTTCATCAACTTGTTTGTCAATAATTTACCTCGTTTTAGAAATTGTACATACGTAGAGCATATCAAGAGTCTCGTTTTAGGTCATCATTTCGTAAGTTCTATTGTCAATACAATGACCTTGTCAGCAAATACAATCTATCATTAAGTCATATGCTGACTGAGGTTTTTCATACGAATTGTTAGGCCATTATTTACACACCGAATTGTCGACGGATGTTTTCGTTATTTACCGTCATGACAAGGAGCACACGGCGGGTGTAACCGGTCGGCAGGGGATGCTCACTTCTCCATGGCGCCTGATCCCACCTCTTTTTTTGGAGGTCTGTGTTTGCTCTGCTCCCGATTTGTATTGTTTTAATGGACTTTGAGCTTGAACACTGTTCGTTATCTCCATATTTCACAATAAAGTATAAAATATGTATTCAATAAGTTAAAGAATATACAAGTACATTAAAGTACACGATAAAATATTCAATAAAGCATTCAACAAGTTAATAAAACATGAAGATTGACTCGAACTTCGTTTCAACAAAATATCATTATTTTTCTCTACAACAACTCTTAACGTCTGTCTTAATATTTTTGTTCATTTATTTCAATTTTATTTATAAAAATACTTTTCTCCAGCATCTTTTCTATCAATGTTATACTAAACAACATTTTCTATAGTAAAAGGCCAATTGTGAATAATAATAGGAGAAAATTAAGGATATAGATTTCTTTAAGAACGTTTGACCCAGCGTTGAACTTTGTTTATTCATTAGACCGAAAACCGCCGACTACTCTGGTGTCACGTGATATTCCTTCTGACTGCTATTAATTACCATGCTTACTACGAGACTTCAGATAAAAAATCAATTAGCTCTCATTGCATTAAATGTGAATATTGACATGCTTCAAATTATAATAATAATAAAAAAAATACATCCTTAATAAATATTACGTGCGTTTGACCCTTTCCGGGACTATAAAAGTTGCACGTCATTTTCCCATTCATTAGCGTGTCTGCCATATTAGTTTGGTATAAAAATGGATGTGATGTGAAGTGTAAATGGGAAACAACACATCGTAAATCAGTCGTTAATATGACTACTTTAATCCTCCAATTAAGAAAGTGTTAATAAGAGTCGTGTGAGTTGGGCTTTCATCTTCTGATAATTTAATTAGTCAGCGCGGCTACTCTTTACGTAATGACGTCGTTCAAAAATGGACTTAATGACATTTAAATTCAAGTTTCATAAGGTCTGTTTAAAAACAATGATAAGTATCTGTATGCACACAAATTTTAAGTCCAATATGAACAACAAAAATGTTACAAAAGTACAATCTGATAAAAGTACCTTCATAATTTCCTGCATACCGTGGAATCATTAGATTTCGTAGTTGCTCAAATTCGTGGAGTTCGCGAGTCAATTCCCAATTAATAATTCGTTGATTCACATCCTCAACGAATTAGCAAGAAGAATTTTTTAAAGGTAATCTTTTTGTAACAATGAGGGAATGCACGAAATTACGTCCCCCTCGAACATTTAAAATTTAGGCAATTCACGAAAATTGGCCTCAACGAATTTTAATGATTCCATAGTATTTCAAATTAGAGTTTACATGTTGTGATTCTTTACTTTATTTAAAAAAAAATATTTAAAGGAATTAGGAGTTAATACTTCCTTGTCGATGTAATACCACGTGTTATGGTTCGAATTACATGTAGGTGCCTAATTTTTTTTTTTAACAAAAATGCAATATTTAAAATCTTAAATCAAGCTTTAACTGTATTGAGAATAAGTTTTATTTTCGAATTTTTTCTTTTCTTCCATACAGGATGAATGTAGGAACATTGTTAGTAAACAAATCAACTTTTTGTCCTTACAATAGGAAACATGATCAGGTAATTTAATCAAGAGTCTCTTCATCCTACACCAACATCATTTACCATCCTATTTAACACATGAGGTTATCTAATCATATTGGATTTTCTTACCATTTATTAAAAATGCCTTTATTTTGTATGAATTGTATTGTTTTAACCAATTTGCACTTTCACATAACTTACAACGTAAGTAAGGACGTAACTAATCTAACAGATAACTGATTCCAGTTAGTGTCAATTAACAATAAAACACTGCTGAAGATTAGATAAAATTATATCACTTACTATGTCACCAAGACCTTTCAAACATTCAACAGTAAGGGTAAATTAAATGATAAATCATGTGTCGGAATTTTTTTTCGGTAAACGAAAGGATATATTTTTCACCCATTTTGCCTGAAGATTTTATTTAAAATGTTATATATATAGGATCTCCCGCCCCTGCAATATTTTTAGGGAAAAATTCTGAAGTTCTGAAAATTTACTTAACCAATAATTAATATTGATTATGATGGTATGTCAAGAAGGCGTATATCAAACGACATTAATAAACATATTACGGAGAGCAATTGTGACGTCACACTACACTAGCGAAGGAGACCTTGTTTATAAATATAGATGTCCTAGCTAGTAATTAATGCAATATTGAGATCTATGTCGTTTAGCAAGTGTTTTCTGTAAAATGATATCTTGGCGTTTAATACCAAGTAATGTTTGATTAAGCCATCTATATTACTTAAAAGGACGACTGTTTCAAGGCAATTTGTTATTTCTACACCAGTCATACATCTACTCTAAGAAAGACTATCATTTTCTATCAAACCTTAGA